TATGTTGAATGTTTGTCTGTGATTTGTGCATATCGAGATCCTCGTGGGTTCCAACAGATCATACCCGAGCTAACCACTCGGTTCAGTCCACCGAGCTATTTTGAATATTACATCAGTCAGCTTTAGATTTTCTCTACTTCTGTCACGGAATCATGATGGTCGTGAGAATGGCCTTCTTGAGATAAGGAGACATGGATTAGGAGAGGATTTTTTGTAACAATCTTTTGCTGAAGGTTATTATGGAGTACTTGAAAAAAAGTTCATTGATGCCTTTAACAAAGGAGAGATTCTGGAAAATTTTATGTCATAGGGTGAGAAAAATTGCAGCATAAGTGGAAGTCATTTACTCATTCAATTTTTCGTTTTCAGTAATTTTGATTGTTCTTGGTGCGGGCAATGATCATCTCCAACCCTCTGCTCTACTTTACTCTACTTTCGGGTACAATAAGCAAAAATTCAAGTTCTATCTCCAGCCCTCCACGCTACATTTTACCCTACATTGAATATATTATTTTTGTTTATTTTTATTTCAAATAAATTGGTATTTATATGTATATTTAATTTTATATAAATTTTTATTACCCAAATAATAAAAATATGATAAAACCGATTTCTGAAACCCTTCTCTCCCAAATCCACATCCCAGCGCTGTTTTCGTTTTTCGTGTCTTCCCCGGCGTTAAGCCGGCCTCTTGCCGGCAGATGGCCCTAAGCTACACTCAATCCCCCCGATTTTGTGCCTTTATTTATCGGTTCGCCGATTTTGGAGATGAGATAGGTGCGTCGGTCGGTGCTTTTTTCGTGTAGGTTGTCATTCTAGCTTTTCTCGGCTTCGTAGGTGGATTCTCGGAGGTCTTTTGTTGATTCCGTCCCTGTACGGATGTCGACAGCGAGTTCTCGGCCTGTCTCAGAACGGTGGTCGATACTTCTCCTCCGATTTGGGTCCGACTGCTGAAGGATGGTGTGTGGTTGGGATGATGGGTGCGGCCCTGGTTACTCGGCTCTTCTGAGTCGCGGCAGTCGGGGGCTGAGGTGGTTCAATTCTCGCTCATGGGTCCCTATTTTGCTGGTGTTGTGGTTTCGGGATGCCGACACGCCAAGATTCAACCCAGTTTTGTTGGTCGGGTTCCGGGTAGCTGGTGTGTGGAGGCTGGTTGATTCTCCTCTGACTGTAGGTCGACTTTCTCCTTGGAGTGGTTCGAGGTTCGGGGCTCGTCCTTTGCTAGGCATTAGGCAGTGGCGGGAGTGGCGCTCCGAATTTGGGGTCAAGCCGTGGGATGGATAGTCCTTGTTTCGTTGAGGCCTTGTGCAGGGTTTGGCTTACTCGTAGCGCCTTGTAGCTGGTAGTTTAGGTATGTTTGTCTTAGCTTTTTCTCCTTGTTCTTGTGCTAGTATTGTTTAGGTTCGTGTTTTTGGTCTGGGTCATTTGGTCTCTGTACGCCCGAGTGTCAACTTATTATCCTGTTGGGATCGACACTCGGGCATTACCTGTTGGGGTCTTTGTGTGTTGTTTTCTAGTTGTGTTTTTCTGTTCCCAAGTATTACCTCGCTGGGGTCGGTTCTAGGCGGTCTTTTGACCTGTCCTCCCACTTTTTCAGTTGTTGGCTGCTTGTATTTAGCTGTTAGCTGTTTGTATTCTGCTGGTGGCTGCTTTTTGCACATTTGTGCGTGTATATAATATTTCTATCGTTTCAAAAAAAAATAATAAAAACAAGTTTACTACGACAACACGAGAAATATTCATAAATTCAAACAATATGTATAACAACACGAGTGTTTCATCTTTAATTATTTTGTTTTTATTTGTATATTTTGTGATTTATGTGTGTTGTAACCTTTTAATTTTAATATTACGTTGTATTTATTTGTGTATTTTCTGATTTATGTATGTTGTAAAATTTTGATTTTAATATACGTTGTTCTTATTTGTGTATTTTCTTATTTATGTGTGTTGTAAAATTTTGATTTTAATGAAATCTACTTGTTTCATTCTGTCAACTTTTTTTAATATGGTATAATTTAATATGAAAAATTATACAATAAATTTTTATACATCAATAAATAAAAAACACAAAACTATTTAGCATTAAAAATTCATTGCACAAAGTTATTTAGCATAAAAATACATTTACTAATACACATTATACAAAAATCCCTAATTAATATTACATTCAAATGCATTATAAAATATTGCGTTGTTACAGTCAGGGACGAGCCTACATCCAGGGCGGCCCGTGGGCCCCCCTCAGTTTTCTTTTAAAATCATTATATTTATATATGGTAATAAAAAATAATATAAAAAATTAATGAAAATGTAAAAAATATGTAAAATTATAAATAATTAAAACTTATTCTCAATGCTATTGTAATTTAAAGTAAAATATTATTTATTTATTAAAAAGTATATTAACAATCATTACATTTTACATTTCTGGGTAATATTTTGTAAATCAATTTAATGATTTATAATTGTGTGATTTTTGAATTTGATCGATTGTATATTTGAATGTTGATTTTTTACTTTATTTTTCTTATATAATCACATATATTTAACTTTATTTATTTTTTATTAAAAAAATGGTTAATTGATAAGCTCTCATCAACAATAATGCTATGCTATGTGTTCAATTTAAATCAAATTTGAACATTTTTTTTTTTTCATAAATTATAGATCTTAAACTTAAATTATTAATATACGAAATCTTATTTTTTTCATTTTTTTTTTTTTTTTTTTAAAAAAAGTTTGAGGGTGTTACAAATTCTAAGTTTTTAGTAACTTGAAGGTACACATATTTTTATCTATATTTATAAGTAAACACAATTTTATATGAAATGAGCGTTTTTAGGTAAATTACAAATTCGTTATTTAACATTTAAAATTGAGCACCGTAAGTGAAAATCCTAATTCCGGTCACTGGTTATAGTAATGCGCTAAATATGGCACAAATTAAGATGTTGTCCGAAGTCTGTTTTTATTCAATTGAGCTGGCTTTGGATTCATTCACCCAAAATGTTAGTCTAACGGTGTTTATTTGTTCATTCAATTTCCCATCTAAAGTTTATAAGCATGAACACAATTTTCTACATTTGTTCAAATAATCCGACTTTTATATATATATCTCACTTTTTTGATAAGTGTACAATTTCTATGTTTTTGGAAAGTTGGTTTACTTTTTGATGCAGCAACGTGGTAGACGAAAGGAATATAAGAGAAAACTCAAGAGTTCTTAATTTTATTCAATGTTCATCGATCAAACTTCATAAGAGAGGGACAATATATAGAGTCTATGAAAGAGAATCCTAATCCTAATTATCTTGTGCAACAAGATAATTATCTTATTTATTCCTGAATAATAAAACACTCGTAAGGAAATAAAATATCTCTTACTAAACACTCCTAAGGAAATAAAATATCTCTTACTAAATAATAATAGGAAATATAATATGTAGAATAATCTAGATGCGTAGACGGTCGAATTTGTCGAGAAAGGCTAGGGCGGTCTCGTCTTCATCACTTTTCACACAAGTACAACTAATTACAAAAAAAAAAAAAAA